ATGTACCTTTCACATGGCAGAGACTGACCAGCGTGATGAGCTACTGGAAGAGGCAGCAGCATCCTGAGTGCTTGAACGCTGTCCAGCCTGCCCCACCATATCCCCATGTGCAGCCTAGGACCTGGGTTTCAACCAACATGTGCCACCAGGATGGCCTGGCCAGGAGTCACAGGAGCACTTCAGCTAGGAGTCTGAGGGTTGGGAACAAACCAGACACATAGGATAGAAGAGAAGAGTCTATGACGCCCCCCACCTTCCCCCTTCTTTCAGCTGTCCACCATTGTTAGGGAAAGGGGTGGCAGAAGGGGGCCCAAGGGTGGGGATGGGGCATCCCAACAACTCCCTGACAGCCCTGCCTGTTCCTCCGTGCAGGATGGTTCCCCCACCACCTGTCAGCAAGCCCCACGTGTGCCTCTCCACTGTGCTCATCATGACCAGCCTCGTCCTCATGGATGCCTACCTGGTGGAACAGAGCCAGGGCTCCAGGAAGCTGGGCATCTGTGTCATGGTGGCAGTGGGTGATGTGTGCTTCCTGCTGGTTCTCCGCTACGTGGCCATCTGGGTCGGGGCAGAAGTAAAGACAGCTAAGCGGGGCTATGCCATGATCCTCTGGTTCCTGTATGTCTTCGTTCTGGAGATCAAAGTCTACTTTGTGTACCAGAACTATAAAGCTGACCGGAAAAGCCTGGATCTCATAGCCCGCAAAGCGCTGACCTTGCTGCTCTCCATCTGCATCCCAGCCCTCTATGTGTTGTTGGTGGCAACAGAGCACATGGAGTACGTCAGGACATTCAAGAAGAAAGAAGATCTCCGCAACCGCCTCTTCTGGGTCATTGTGGACATGCTGGATGTGCTGGACATCCAGGCCAACCTGTGGGAGCCCCAGAAGAAGGGGCTGCCGCTCTGGGCTGAGGGCATCATGTTCTTTTACTGCTACATCTTGCTCCTGGTCCTCCCTTGCGTATCCCTCTGTGAGATCAGCATGCAAGGGATCGGCATCATGCCACACCGGATGATGCTGTACCCCATGCTGAGCATGCTCACTGTCAACATCACCACCATCTTCATCCGAGGCAGCAACATGGTCTTCTTCAGGGATGCCCGGGTCTCCAGCATCTTCATGGGCAAGAACATGCTGGCCATTGGGCTGAAGGTCTGTACATTTGTGCAGTACCAGCGTCACCGGCACCACACACCCCCGGGGCCTGGGCCGGACCTGGCCCTGCAGCACAGCGCCCAGGCCCAGCCCTCCCCAGGGCTGCACAAGTCCCGGGCCCAGCCTGCCTGCCCTGAGGAGCTGGCCCAGGACAACACGTGACAAGCCAGCGGCACCCGCAGCCTGGACACCACCACACCTGGCTGTACCTGCAAACCCGAGGCGGGTCGCCGAGCTCCCCTCCTGGACAGAGGGCAACGACCCCCCTCCCATCCCGGAGGGTCGCATGGCAAGACCCTCCCCCCTCCGTCGCAGCCTCTGTAAGGCTCCAGAGCAGTTTGGGACCTCAGCACCCCACCGAGTGAGTTGGGCAGCGGAGCGGAGGAGACCAGGTTTTATGGGTGGGCGCTGTGTCTGGCTGGGGCCAGGCAGCCCTACCCTGCTCCGGGCTCCCCCCGTCAGCGCTCCCCACACAGCACTGCCCTCTGGCCAGCCAGGGCTCAGGCTGGGGGGGCTGCACGGGGACACTGCGGGTCACCCGCTCCGCTGTTGTGGTTGACCCCGGCTCCCGCTCAGTGCCCGGCAGCAGCCTGCTCCCTGAGCCAGGGTCCCCTGCCTGTCACCCCTGTCAGCCAGCTGCAAGCCCGGGGGGGACCAAAGGGGGTGACTGTCATTTTTTGTATCTCCCCCTTTGCAATAAAAAGACCTGAGCCCTGCAGCCTCCTCCTGTCTGTGTCCCTGCTGGCAGGCAGGTCCCCCCAACTCCTGTGGGTGCCTGTCCCTTGTGTGCCTGGATGTCCAGCTGTGGCTGCAGAGCACATCTGGGGTGGGGGGACTCGCTCAGTGACCACCCAGGCCTGGGGAGGGCATCCCTGATGGTCTGAAACCATCCCTCCTGGCCAGCGGCTGGGAGAGGAGAGGCAGGTCCTTGTCAGAGTCTGGTGGGCTCTGAGGGTGTCACTGGGGGGGGTATGTGTGGGAGCTCTGTCAGCCACCACTGCCTGTGCAACCAGCTGCAGTTACATCAACTGGTGCCAGCCATGCCCAACGGTTGTCCTTCCCAGGGACACCCATAGCAAGTCCCCACACTCCACCTAGAGGGACACCAGAGCAGGTCTGGCAGAGACACGCTGCCAGGACAGCATTAGAAACAGAAGGAAAATAACCCAACTGACTCCTTGAGGCTGGGAGGCCGTGGGGAAGAGCAGCTCCCCTGGCAGTAGAAAGCTCTCTGGAGATGTCGGAAGCATCTCCTCCTGTTGGCGCTGGTGTGGCCATGCTGCCGCCTGCCCCAACACACAGTGTCACCACAACACTGGCTGAGTTGGGCAAGGCCACAGGGCTTCTCCTGCTGCAGCATACAGGGCCCAGGAGCTGGCAAGGAGAGACAGACCAGTAGAGTTGCTCCTCACTGCTGATGAACAGAAGCAGGTGACATCCCAGCGAGGATGTCCTCCTTGCAGGCAGGCATGCAGGCCTC